GAAACTCAAGAAGCACTGGACAATGGGGCGGACAATATCACAAAAGTTCAATACGGCCTTTCTTCAGGATACTAACAAACTCAACATTCTCTTCAATAAGATTTGGGATGAGGAACAAGTACCAAAAGAATGGAAAGAAGTACTCCTGATCAAAATACCAAAGAAAGGCGATCACAGCAAGTGTGATAACTACAGGGGCATCACTCTTCTCTCAATACCGGGAAAAGACTTCAACAGAGTATTGTTAAACAGGATGAAGGACTGCATAGACGCCCAACTTCGTGACAAACAGGCAGGATTCCGTAAGAATAGATCGTGTACAGACCAAATCGCAACTCTACGGATCATTGTGGAACAACCAATTGAATGGAATTCATCACTCTACATCAACTTCATTGACTACGAAAAGGCATTTGATAGCGTGGACAGAACAACACTATGGAAACTTCTTCGACACTACGGCGTGCCTCAAAAGATAGTCAATATCATACATAGTTCATATGATGGATTACACTGCATAATCGTGCATGGAGGACAGTTGACAAAGTCGTTCGAAGTGAAGACCGGTGGTAGGCAAGGTTGCTTACTCTCACCCTTTCTCTTTCTCCTGGTGATCGACTGGATCATGAAGACGTCAACATCTGGAGGGAAGCACGGGATACAGAGGACATTTAGGATGCAGTTGGACGATCTGGACTTCGCAGATGATCTGGCCCTTCTATCCCAAACGCAACAACAAATGCAGGAGAAGACGAACAGTGTAGCAGCAGCCTCAGCAGCAGTAGGTCTCAATATACACAAAGGGAAGAGCAAGGTTCTCCGATACAACACAGCTTGCACCGATCCAATCACAATTGACGGAGAAGATTTGAAAGATGTAAAATCTTTACATATTTGGGCAGCATCATTGATGAACATGGTGGATCTGATGCAGATGTGAAAGCGCGGATCGGTAAAGCAAGAGCAGAATATTTACAACTGAAGAACATCTGGAACTCAAAGCAACTGTTGAGCAACACCAAGGTCAGGATTTTCAATACAAATGTCAAGACAGTTCTACTGTATGGGGCGGAAACCTGGAGAACTACGAAAGCTATCATCCAGAAGATACAGGTGTTTATTAACAGTTGTCTACGCAAAATACTTCAGATCCGTTGGCCGGACACTATTAGCAACAACGTACTGTGGGAGAGAACAAACCAGATCCCAGCGGAGGAAGAAATCAGGAAGAAGCGTTGGAAGTGGATAGGACACACATTGAGGAAAGCACCCAGGTGCGTCACAAGACAAGCCCTCACATGGAATCCTCAAGGCCAAAGGGGAAGAGGAAGACCAAAGAACGCATGACGCCGAGAAATGGAAATAAACATGAAAAAGATGAACAAGAATTGGATGGAATTAGAAAAGGAGGCCCAGGACAAAGTGGGTTGGAGAATGCTGGTTGGCGGCCTATGCTCCATTGGGAGTAACAGGCGTAAGTAAGTAAGTAAGTACGGTTTACAGCTACGACACTTGAACGTTAGGACTTCACCATTGCAAATAAGACAGAAGAAAAGCTGGAGAAGTGTTTATTTGTTAAGAATCGAAATGTACAGAAAATCACGGGTAATTATAGGTATTAGCATTTGTTAAATCAATATGATAATTCGGCCAATCCGCAAAGAGACATATTATGCAATTGTCCAATGGTAGTGTGCCACGTTGATATTCTAGAAAGCTGCATCATGTTCTCATTGGATGGAAACTCTTCGGCTCCTTTAGGGTCTCTGGAAGCTCCGTTTTAGTTCTCGGAAGCCGACTTAACACATTACTGAAATGCACAGTAATAACTTTTGTGCTTCGATTACCAAGAACTTTAATTTCGATAAATCAAAATAGTTTTAATAATAATTCGTGTAAATAACACCAAAGTATACGCACACAAACACTAAGGTTGGGGAGTATTACTGCTGAAACAATACACGAATGATAAACGGTAAGTAAATACACACAACTACAGTATAAGGTAGACGTTTATCTACTAGACTATAATTAAAATCCAGTTTCAAAACGGGTACAAATATTACTACTCGTGTGTTCGGAGGAAAAACATTGATTCACGACAGAATATTAAAACTTGGATATATAAACTGTCAAAGTTATACAAAATATATTCGACTAAGTACGGTGATAAATATATAAATAAATCAGATTTTCGATAACTGAACACAGTATGGTATTTGACTGAACAAGGGTACATTATAACTGATGAGCGGAAAATTCCGAATAACAGATCATTTTTGAAAGCGATGGACAAGTCAAATAGCACGCAAATATATTAAGTGGTGTTGATCAATGCGTGGGAAATGACAAAAAAATTTATCATTTTAGTAGCAGAAAAACTAGTACTTAATTAAGTTTTCAATACTTTATGATGACAAGATTCCAAGAAGTGGTTTCAATCCAACACGAAAACTTAAGGTTTGTTCTGCATTTTGTCTCACTCCAGAAGGATGACGTACAAAGTTAAAGAGTACCAGACAATTGCGGAACGATTACCAATAGACTGACAACTATTCGACTGACACTGGATTTTAACTAGAATTACTTTATTTTACCAAAAAAAAGAATTACGTAATACTTCTAATTTAATCAAGTATGTGTTACAAATATCATAATCAATTTATGAATTTTTAGATATCACAGTTCTACCAAGCACAAGTGTTTCATTTTGTAAAACATAATCGATAATAATACATAATAATATAACTATTTGTAAAATCAATGTTTAACATTTTCATTTCATCACAGTAAGACAATATTCAGAAACTTTACATTCTATTCATATCATGGGAAAAAAATGTGGAGTTATTTGAAAAACTACTGACAGATTCGTACGCTTTATTGGAAAATGTCCAGAGCGTAGTAGCCTCCAGATAGAACCACATAAATCTTTTAGAAATCATGAAGGAAAGTTATAGAGTGAGCGGTTCTATTTGACTACAACCAAAATGGAACAGTTAGCATATGCGTTGCATTTCCTAGTAGTTTGTACTCATATCACAGTTGTCTACTAGAGGAGTATATAACATTACCGTATGGAGGAGACAGAATGCAACCCAATTTAGTTCATAAAACTGTAAAAACTTCGTTCTAAATTTTTTCACAATTAAATATAAAAACCATTTTTCTTTTCCTCACTTTTTCAGTGTTATTGAGCTTTTTCGAAGCTTACATCATTGTAAGAGCTATATTTCCAGGAAAGATGTTAATAAATACCGCAAATAGATTATATCTAATGATATTCAAGCTAAGTACATCATTCAGCATGAACACACCTTGTTAATTTTATACATGTTTCATGTATATTTGTGTTCTAATAGATTTCCATTTTGTTTACATTTTCATAGGAGTTACTTTTATAATATACATGAAAGTGTACGCGTCAGTCGTGTCATATGCTTGTTTAGCGTTGAATGGATTAATTAGTCAATAAGTTGAATAATAAAGTTCAATAAACAGAAATATATAGTAGAAAAAAACAACATAAACTTGAATGAGAATCTAATGTATTCAAGTTACAGGACGAAAAAAATTGTAATCGTGATGAGGGATTTTAAACAATCAGTCTTCCATGTTATTTTTCGGATATCGTGTCTGATGAATCAAAAACCTAAACACAGTAAACAGGATTTGTGTTTACGTATGCAAAAATGAAATATTGTCTCTGGCTATATTTGATTTAGTAAATATACTGAGCGCTTAACATGAATGAAAATTGTTCAGTGATTTTACGGTATTTTGCCGCGGACAATTGATTGTACATAAACCCTGTGAACAAGTAAATAGAAACCAATGTCCTTTATCGAATTTTAAGTAGGAGTTATGAGTTATTAACCGAACTAACAATCGTACTAGTGTCTAAAAAATCTAAAACCCGGGCTAATAATCAGTTGATTCCGCTCAAGTCGGCTTCACTTGAAGGACAGTGATTCTAATCAAATCCCACATTCACATTTAACAAATAGATTTGCATAAACAGCATTAAGCACAGTCTCTCTGACTATTAGATAGTTCAAACATGATGACAAGCAAAAGCGATTACGCCCACAACTACAGAAATGTACCAGTCATCTGTCTAGAAATATATAAAGAATTGTAAGTCACTGTACAAAAAATTAGTATGAAGTTTAGAGGTTTGTAGCATCATACACTTTTTAAAAAAATTCTTCGTATTATTATTATTGCAACAGTACATAATGAAAAATAGACAATGAAATTACTTAACATCAAAGAATGATGACTTTTAACTATATACATATCTAACAATATTTATTTTGAAAAGTTCATGGTAGATCTACTGGAAAACGTGAGTCTGATTTATCTAATACACGCAAATACAGTTTATTTAAATATATCGGTCGGTTTAATCAAAAAGCAAGTCAGAATACCTAGAACGAAACAACAATAAACAACATTTCACTTAACCACTGAAAACAAATTAAACATTGATATAAATCAGAAAGGAAAACTCCGTAAAGAGCACATTATCATGTAAACATGAACAAGTATACACAAGTATAGAGTTGAATGAAAAATTGCATTAAATAGAACACGAAAAAACTAATTCACACAAAAGTCTTTTTGTAATCAAGATATAGTTGTTGTGACTGAGATTTAACAGTATTGAGAATCGATAACCAAGTGACATATAAGTTGATTGTTGATAATTAACATATATCTGTTTATCTATACTGAAATAAACAAATTGGTTGATACTATAAACCAGTAGAAATTTTCTTTAAATACACAAAGCTTTGAAATTATATTATACTGCAAGAAAACAATGTTTGGACACAACATACATTCAATAAATTAATACCAATTCCTTCAATAGAAAATTATTATTTCACACTTAAAACTAACAACACTTCAATATCCGAAGAACAACGAAACACATAACAAAGTGATGTTAAGATAGGTAGATTATAAAACAACAAGATATTAAAATTTGGGCTTACGTGGAACTATTCTGTTGTGTTAAGAAGTATTTATTCACGGCAAGCTGTCAAAAGAAAGGAAAAATAATGGTGAATTTTTAATATATATATATATATATATATATATATATATATATATATATATATATATATATATATATATATATATATATATATGCAAGCCACATCCATGCTACTGACCAGTAGTCGAATCAGGTGAGGATAGATATTGAGAGGGGTTCAGAAACATGGTTCTATTTGTAAATAAAAACAATATATTCGTAATATCTCAATGAGTAGAAAAATTAAGTTCTTAAGTTTTATTTACTTATAGCAATCTACCCAATGCTCAATTTATTTGAAATTAACAGGTCAAACCTTGGTAATGACACCTATGGTTCTATTAGGTTGATCGATTAATAGAGAAAAGTACATTATGTTTTTAAGTTCATGGCTTTACCGGATGATTTTTTTTCCCATATGTACACAAAACTTCCACATGATCTTAAAGAAGATAATTTATGAATCATTTTTACGACACTATTTGATAAAAGCATTTCAATCAAATCTGATAGAGCTGATTCCATGATTAAATAGTTTCTTTTCATAAATTAGGAACGAAATGTATTTATCAATACATAAAATCGACTAATATTAAGGGCCCTTAATCTGGCCATTTTTCGGATTATTAATTTGGATAATTTTAGAACCTGAAGAAGATTTATCGAAAAGAATATTTTACGTTCAAATATTAGTATTTTAATATGATGAGGATCTTTAAACGACATAAAATTGAGTCTGGATTATTTATTTCCCTGATAAGTGGTCACAAATTCTTATCTCTAGAAAAAATACCCTCGATAGTTTAAAATAACTATCTTTTTAATAGTTGAGATCATGAGTTAATTGAAGCAAGACCACGATGGAAAACCTGAGAGTACTGGATAACCATTTCGTCCTATTGCGGGACCCCTCAGCAGTGCGCATCCACGACCAAGCCTCGCGGCCCCCAAATTCCCTGATACAGCAGAAAGCGGGAATAATTTACTCTCCCTCTTGAAATGCTCTCACATGGCCACGCGTATATAGCCACTGCCAGGGAAGTCTTACTGACTACTCTATCCCGGCGGGGCTGATTGCTTACGAAATTGAGAGGAGGAAAAGCGAATGTCCGGCACTTTTGCCGGGTTGGTGGACACGGAGAGTTCACCTAAGGGAGTTGAAAAACCCTGATTCCAAACCAATGGTGCACATGGGCTCTAGTATCCTGAGGGAAAAAATGGCGTATGAACCAATCGTCAAAGACTCGGGGTGTGGCCCTTTAAGAGAACCACCTGCTTTGGTCTGGGCCCCCGGGTAGTATCACAGCCCTCACACAAATAAAATGAAATTTGTGTGGTGCATATGTATCTGGTTCTCCCTTGTGCGAATATCTATGTATTCAAATAAATAAATACACCACCACTCTGGATTCGAACCCAGAACCTATCAGTCTCGCGCGCGAGCGCTTAACCACAAGACCACTGAGCCGGTATCCAACGGTGTTAATATCTAACTTCAACTAATCTACGAAATTGAGAGACACATCCACATCTTAACTATTGAAAACATTAAAATCTCCACAAAACCCCTTCTGATATCTATCTTTATATTCGAAATGTTTCAAAAGTATTCAGCTTATTATTATCGATTGAATTAAAGGAGATTGTTTACTAATAGCTTAACAGTTCATGAGTTACACAAAAAGCTAAATTCTTACCTTCATTAACCAACTACGAGTTTAGACGCGCACTAGCTTTAGTGTGCACAGAAAATTTTTTTCGAGACATTGATGGATTTATAGCTGAATCTTTAATATCTTAATGAAACAAATGGTGGTTAAACATCAGTATCCTTTGAAGGTTAAGGTGTGTTTGTCAACATTAGGAGTGAGGTCGTTAATAATCATGCTAACAGTGGTGGTTTAAAGGAACATGGATAAAGTGAAATCAATGAATAATCAGCTAGTGCCAGATGATGATTCATTACTTATATTGTATCAAGTTTTCTGAAAATTCAAATTGATTGGATACTGAAATCATGTACACTGAATGGCTAATCGATAGACAACAGTGTTAACTACTGATGCTTTAGTTCTGAACGAGGTATCTATGTCACGAGGACTGAAATCTTCATCTAATGACGACTTTTAAGCGTTTGTATATACATTATGATGAAGGATATTAAAGAGCGGAAAACAAGATTCACAGAGACCGATCGACTTCCTGCAATTATAGACATAATATTTATTACAATTAATAAATATATTGAGTCATTGTACCTAAGCCATAACTTATTATACGTATGTCCTTTCATTACGTTACCAACATTTATCAAATGAATTAAGTTTTAAATTATCGAAAACAAAACTTTCTGCGCACACTACCTGAACTCACTAACGTAAAGCGTAAAACTGTATCTCGATGAGTGAAGTTGGATTTCTATAAACCTTGTTTGATAAGCCACATATTCCTAAGGTAATCGTACAAGAGTTAACATCCTAGCAAATTATAACGAAGTGTTCCTAATCTAACTCAACTTTCTTAAAAACGTCGTACACATGGAAGTAATTGAAAATTCGTAAAACATTAAAAAGTTATTGCTTTCTTTAAAAAGAAATCGTAAATTTCAATGTGTAAACTTGGTTTCTGTAATATGACTAAAAAACCAAATTTACTTAAAACCATGATCAACCTACCACTTCAAACGTACAGTTCTGAAAATAGTAAATACTTAAACAAATATTTAAAACAAACAATTCAATAATTTGTAGAATCAGGAAATAACAAAAAACAGAATTAAATTATACACTGCTAAGTTTCTATATTCCTATTTATTAGACAGAATAAAGATGCATGAAGTTAACTGAAACATTGAATTACATAACCCAAGGGAATGTTACACGAGAACTAACACCACAAAAACTATTTAGGTGACTAGTGTTCACTGTGAATTCTCGATTGTATGATTATTAAGTGAAGATATTTTTTGCTAATACTAATCAAATTACCATAGTAAAGTATTAATCATGGCTTTCGTTCGAGGACTAGTTAAACAACATATTTATATCTTTTTGCTTGAGATCATGAACCGATTGACGTTAGACCACCATTAAAATAGAAGATGGCCGCGTAATTTCGTGGATCGGTTGAAGTTAGACATTAACACCACTGCATGGCAGCTCAGTGGTCCGGTGGGTTAGGCGTTCGCGCGCCAGAGTGAAGACCTTGAGTTCGAATACCACGAGCAGGATCGTAGATGCACACTGCTGAGGAGTCGCACAGTAGGATGAAACGGCCGTCCAGTGATTCCAGGTTTTCAATGGTGATCTAACATCAATCGGTTCATGATGTCGAACAAAAACTTTTCAATCTCCACAACCTCTAAACAGATATTCATATTTACTAATATAAGAAAAGGTGCGAATACAGAAAATTGTTAACTGGACAGATGATACTAAAAATTACATAATAACGCTTAAAAAACTAGCAAACGGTGACTTTATTACATAGGGAAGGAAACTTCAAAAGAATTAAGAGCTGTACCAAAGTAAAACAGATATACGAAGAGAATCAGACGAAAATAAATTTCGTTAGACGAGAACAGCGTAACAGCAGTTGATAAACATATCTAGTAATATAAAGGAACATCAGGATAATTATTGGACCAATTTTAATGCACGATGATGTAATCAACACCATTGTGTCGAAGAAGTTTCCATAATGTCTTCCCTATTCACGCTGTCAAACGCTTTCTCATAATCAACGAAGTTGATGTATAGTGACGAGTTCCATTCAAATCATTGTTCAACGACGATCCGTAGTGTTGCGATTTAGTCTTTGCACGACTGATCCTCACGGGATGAGACCTTTTCATCACAAAGTTGGGTGTCTACTGAATCTTTCATCTGGTTCAGAATAAAAAGAACTATAAGTACTAATCGAAAAGCTTGAAGGCATATATACACATAATACACTAATCAAAGTGGATCAGTACAACTTGTCTTACTGATCACACTAACTCTGGATAAATTATGTAAGTAGTCAGTTATTATGCATTCCAATATCCTAACTTTCTATTAAATTATATATATATATGCTTCTTTCAACCTTTCTTTCCGCTCATTATTTTTTATCAAACTAATTAAACAGAAGTAAAAAAGAAGACAACAAGAACAACAAACAGCAAAAATTTGCATAATTTAAATACATCGTCCAAACTAATAATATCATTGAGGTTAAATCCAAAAACGAAAATGATGTAATAAAGTGATAATCAGACGACGTAACAAATATTTTTAAGTGTTTACCTACATGCACACAAACAATATGAAAATTGCTTGCAAAAGCAAATAGTTGCATTGGTGGCTTTCTATATTTAGAGATTGGAATCTAATATCACATGAAATAAAATTATCGTAAAGGAACAAATAACTTTTTTTGCAATCATCATTGCGACGGTAACTTACACTTGACTTCTTAATTCCAGTTCCTTTTATTAGTCGTAATATCTGTCTGGTGCTAACTATAGCCGCTGCTTTTTCCATCTATCTTGCTCTCGTTGCCCACTACTGCTCATAGCCGTTCGTTTGTCTTTTGTTTAATCTATATCTGATTTGTTTTCGTTCATCGTCATGTTCGGAGCCTGATGGGGTACGTTTACGAGAGTCTATCAGTCCAATACATGTAGCGGAAACCCATTGGTTTTTCGTAAATTTTTGGTTCAAATCACTAATACATTTCGCTGCTGTTTTCACAGCTGTTCGTATGTATTTGCAAGCAACATCTGGGTTGATTTGTTATGAATACAGTGATCTTGAGTGCTGTTAAAGGTGTGAGGGTGGTTATTACTTCCCCGTTGTCCACACCATGGGAGGGTTCTTCTAGAGGTGTCTGAGATGGAAATGGGGTTAGAGGTGATCTTAGTGACCAGAGAGCGTATCCTCAGTGCCCAATGAAGAACTGCTTGAAGTCGGTCACACACGACTTTTTGTGGATAATTTTCGTGTTAGCTCCGTATTTGTTGG